GCAATCCTCCTGACTCAGCCTCCCCAGTGCTGGGATTATAGGTGTGTGCCACCATGCCAGGCTCCAGCACTTTTTAAATTTTTCCAGCAATTTTTAACATTTTAAGACACAGCCCCCTGAAGTCACTGTTACCCAAGCTGGGCTAAAACTTAGAATCCTGCTTCAGCATTCCAGAGGGCTGGGACTATTGGTGCGCGCCACTCCGCCTGGCTCTTCCCGCTTCTTGACCCCATAATTCTCTCTGGATATTATGAGTCGGGAAAATAATCGAAATTGAAACTGCAGTAGGGTTTGTGAGGAGTACTGTCCCCACTAGTAAAGAAGGCGAGCTGTGAGCGGCCAGAGGCCGCGTGAAGACGGCTACAAATAATGACGTTGTGCGTGGGCCGCGCAGGGGGCGGGGGCTGCACTTCCGCCCCGCAGGAGGACCGGCAGCAAGCCCGGGAAGAAAGGACTGAGAACTGTTGGCTGCGAACGACTGCGAGGGTCTTCTTCCTAATTTTTTTACAAAACAGCTTAAATTCTTCACATCTAAGAAAGGCTTTACACGCAGAGGAAGGAACTCTCTCAGACAAAGCTTGGCACGGTGTGAAGGGGTTCTTAGCATGGGGTGAGTAGTACGGTCCCCAGCCTGGCCTCGGGGATAATACCTTCCCCTCCAGGTCCTGGCTGAGGTTGGGCAGCGAGGAGGGGACCCCATCCCCGGGCCCCAGGCCCCTCCAGCGCACAGTGCAGACGCCGCCCCCATCCAGGTGGGACCCCGTATGGAAGCCTAGCACTGAGCACCACTGGCCCTGCCAGAGCCCAGAGGGTAAGGCAGCCGGGGCTGAGCACCAAGGTCCTGCAGTGGAGAACAGGAGACGGAGGTGGCCGCTGGACAGAGGACAGGGCAGGTGCAGGGGACAAGGGCTCGGCTAGAAAGGCTGCCAATGAGGTGTTCAAGTCATGGCACGTGGTTTGGACTTTTCTCCAAGAGCAACGGGAGGACCCTGGAGGAATCAGTGAGGTGCGGGACGTGACCTGGGTGACCTGGCTTGTGCTGCTGAAGGCCGCCTGGATCGTGGGTCAAGGTGGAGCCCGCTGCTACTGCTGCTGCTGCGTGGGTGAGACAGAGGTGGCTTGGGCCTGCCGCTGACGGAACTTCCGGGAGGTGTGCGGAGGGAAGCCCAGCACACACCTGTGCCCTCGTGGTCTACCTCTGTTGGACAATGCAGCCTTCAGGCTGCTGCTCATGACCCTTGTCCACAGCCAGGCTGGGGCCAGCTCCTGCCAGGGTGCTCCTTGCTCCCTGCCCAGGCTGGGGTCGGGTCTGGATGTCCGCCCCAGAGGCAGAGCCTGGTTCTGCAGATGTGGGGGCCACAACCAGACAGCAGACTCCTCCCTAACCGGTGCTCCCACTGCCCCGCCCACTATCCCACCATCCTCGGCTCTGCAGGGCAGAGGGCTGCGGCGCTCCCTGCACCTGTCCTTGTTGCACAGCTCCCTGGGGCCATGTGTCTGGAGCACTTCCTTCTGCTCCCCCAGGGCTCATTCACAGTCCTCACCTGGACCTCAATCTGAGGACTCAGAGCTGAGTGCAACAGCCAGGGCCCAAATAGGAACCCACTGCTTCCCTCAGGCTTCTCACACTGGAGCTGCCCCTTACCCCCACCCGCCACCGCGGAGGCCTGCCCAGGTAGCAGGATGCTGTGGGGCTCAGGGACAGAAATACAGCCCCACCCCCCTGCCACGGCCCAAAACCTCAGCTTATTTAAAAGAAAAAAAAAATTGAGATGCAATTCACATACCACAAAACACACCGTTTTACAGTACACTCTTCAGTGGCTTTTAGTATACTCATAAGATTGTGCAACCATCACCACTATCTGATTCCAGAACGTATGCATCACCCCAAAGCAAAACCCCATACCCACTAGCAGTCCTGCTCGCCCCTCAAACCATGGCAACCGACAGTCTACTTTCTGTCTCTACGGATCTGCCTACGCTGGATGTTTCCTCTAAATGGCAAAGGCTCAGCACCCTACCAGGCCACAGGCTCCAAGGGAAGCCCCAAGAAGGGGCTGCACGGCGCCCTGTCCTTTTCGGCCATAACCAGACCCGCACTCTTGCACATCCCCCAAGCAATGACGCCTCACTCATCCCAGAATCCCCTGGATCCAGCCTAAAGCTAGCACACTCCCCTCGCTCTGCCCCTACCCAGTCCCAGGTCACACAGCAGCGAAAACAAAACAAAACTAGCAGTGGTTACTGGTCCACACTCTGAACTGCCCATGAGCTCACGTTAGATGCCTGAAAAAACCACCAGTCATAGAATAAATTTTGACCTAATTTCCCCTTCCCCAAAGAAACCTTAAAAGAAGTCCAACACCACAAAAGCAACCTGTTGGGAAAGAAATCTCTGCCCCATGGCAGCTGGCTATGAGCTGGGTGTTGAGGTCATTCCTCCTGGCAAGTCTGAGCCGGCCTGGTTGGGGTTCTCCAGCCGGTAGCCACTTGGGCATCAGACCCACACCTGAGCAGAAGCCCCTGGCTGGGTCTTCTCTGCTCTGCAGGGAGGCCCAGTGATTGGTCTTGAGCACCTCAACACAACAGCTGCCCACCTGATGCCATCAAGAGGGGCTGGCCAGAGGGTGGAGGCCCAGGGACACGGCCCGTGAGCGAGGGGCTGCAAAGTGCGTTGTCTGTTCACCATGGGATGAGCTGGTGAAAGTGCTCATTTTGGAAAAAAACTTCCCAAGGCAGTTTTTCCCAGAGATCTTGCAAGGAAGTCCTGGCTGGCTTACAAGAGGATCTTTCCTGGATCCAGAGACAGAAGCCTGGAATCAGATGATAAATGCGCTTCCAAAACACGGGTCAGTTTGTTTTGATTTTTAAAACCCAACCTCACGGTTGTGCGTGGTGGCACACACCTGTAATCGCAGCAGTCTGGAGACTGAGGCAGGGGGATTGTGAATTTGAGCCCAGTAAGAGCACCTTAGTGACTGCTTTGAAACAAAAAATTAGGACTGGGAATTTAGCTCGTTGTGAGGGGCCTGGGTTCAACCCTAGAACTGCGAAACAACAAACCCAACCACAAGTGGAAATGTTCGTACAGCTCTTCAAGTAATTTAAAAAATCACTTCTACTTGCTATCAGGTTTGTTTAGAAGGTGATCCCTGAATCCCCTTCCCTCTCTCTCACCCAGGGCTACTCCAACATCCGCCCCCCTCACCCTACCCCCAGCCCATAGAGTAACTGGAGCCAGGGCACAGTCGGTGCCGAGCGCTCCTCCTGCTTGCCAGCAGCTGGTAGGAAGAGCAGTAGCTGGGCAGTAAGGGCAGAAGATGCGATAAACAGACATGAATCTGCTGTGCAGTCCACCATTCGCTTGCTGGTTGCCCAGTGTGGGGCAAAGGACATCAAGCGGTCCTGTCACCCACACCCTTATGGCAACAGGACGTCCTCCCTGGCCTGGGCACTCTCTTGCTATTTGCCTCCGCTGATGAGCGCTCAGAGCCACTGCTTTCTTCCTGCACTGCTGAGCGGGCACGGGTGCCAGCCCTGCCAGGAAGCTTCTCAGGCCTAGGCCTTCTCTCTAGTCGGTCACCATGGTGACCCTGGCCCACACCAAGCAACCCCTAACCGCAGGGTCACATCAGCTGGCCCCAACTCCAAGGGTCTATACCTGGCAGGGGATCCCCAAACACCTTCTGAGTGAGCACCTACTAGTGCAGGGCGCAGGCCTCCACAAAGTGACTGCTTTATGGGGCAAAGGTGAGATCAAAGCTGGACCCCCACAGACTTGGATGAAGGGAAACAGCTCAGATACCAGGCCGCCCTGGAGCAGAGTCAGCAGACCAACCTCCAAGCCACCATTCCCACATGGTCCAAGGGGCAAGGCATGCCTGCTTAGAGCCAGCCAAGTACCCCACGTTCCCTTCTGGGCTCTGGACAGCCACGGGGCAGCTGTCTTCTCCCTTCCACCCGGCGTCAGCAGGGAACAGCTCTCAGAACCACCCTTGGCACTCCTGGTCTGAAAGAGCCCTGCAGTCACCCTCTCCTCCCTCTCCTACACACTAGTGCACCAGCCTCTGGCCGGCGGCCCACCTGTGCTGGGCCACATTTGCTCTCACACCCGCCTCCGGAGACCTCCAGCCATCCGCCAGCCTCTCACCAACCACAGTCTGAATCACCAGTATGAATTTTTTTTTTAAATAAAAAAAATGCAGCTATACTGCTTTAAAGCACTCAGAATAAGCTCTGTACATATTTTGGGTTTTTTGTTGTTTGTTTTCTTTTGAGATAGGGTCTCGCTATGTAGTTCAGGCTGGTCTTGAACTCACTATGTAGCCCCGACTGGCCTCAGACTCACTGAGATCCTCCGGCCTCAGCCTCCCAAGTGCTAGGATTACAGGTGTGCACTGCCACACCAGGCTCACTCTTCATACCTTAGCTGTACCAGTGAGCAAAAAGCAGTTTGTGATGATCATGAAATCTTTTCAAAGCTCTGGGTATTTCAAAAGATTCAACTCACAAAATCATTAAGCTGGTCCCTCTCCGACACCACTGATCTGTAGCATATCTCTGAAAACCCTTCTGATGCATGTGAGACCCAGCCAGCCTCCTCAGAACCTACTTAAGAGTGCAGGAACCTTCTTCAACAAGGTCACACTGATGCCAGCCAGGGCGAAGTCCACTGATCAGCACAGCGGCGGTCAGCCCTTCTGCCCATCCCTCCAACAGTGCAGCTCTGGGCTTCCCAGGAGAAGCTAACTGTAAAGCTCTGAGCTCAGAGCATTCCACCCTCAGGACGGAGATGGGCTTAGCTCAAGCGTGTGCGGAAGACCTCAGGAGAGGACAGGGCCGGCACTGGGCAGGGGGTGACCCAAGGAGCCCTTCCTTCCTTGAGCAGAGTTCTCCTTTGCTCACTGGGGGGAATGTAAGGGCGACGGGAGACCAGCACAGAATTCTCATCCATCTCCTTCTAAGCAAAAGTCACTTCTTGCCCCTGCCTCACCTACCTGGTCAGCGAGACAGCAGGCACCGGATGGGCACTGGCTGCCGGGGCCACTTACCAACGGGGGCTGCGGCTGCGGGTGCTGCCCTGCGCCCGAGGGGGCCGGGTAGTGCATGAGCAGATTGAAGGCGGAGTAGACACTCTCTTTGTACATGCCGCTGGCGCACTCCGGGGCCTTCAGGCCTGGAAAAACCACAGCTGGGTCAGACACCAGCCCGGCAGCTGCTCGGGCTGAGGGCTGTCTGCTCGCAGAGAACAGTAGGAATCTCCAAAGGGTCCCCTGCAAGTCTGAGACTTGATAGGCAACGAGCTGTCCGCAGCCAGGCTGCGGGGGGACAGGACACTGCGTCGCCTAGGCAGCTCGACTCCTACCCCGCCCTCCAGCCAAGGAACCCAGCCACCGCTTTCTCCTCGGAGCAGGGGCTTCTGGAGTCAGGCAGTCACCTGGGCAGGAGGGAAGGCGGAGAGGGCGGGGGTCTGTTTACTCCTATAAAGGTCAGGGCACCGGAAGTGACTCGAGCC